AACAAAAGAGAAAAGAATAATTTCTAGCAATAAATAGCATTTCCATAGTATTCCAGAACTCTTTGTTCTCAACTTTATTCTCCAAATCCAAAAAGCCAAACTGGCTAAAAATGATATAATTCCTAATACTACAAAAACTCATATTATAAAGTTACTTGAATAACAGCTACCTTAATAAATATGATCAGAATAGAAGTGGATATTATGATAAAATCACTAGTAGTGAGGAAAATGAACTGAAATGGGTATATAAAATATTCTTCTGGATAAAAGCCTAACTACCAGTTTGGAGTTTTCTAAGGCATGGATATTCCAAGGGTTTAAATTGTGGAGTAGTAAAATGAAACCAGTGATTTTAAGTACTTTTCTATTTCTTTTAAAATGTTAAATTTTAGTTAATAAAATTCACTTCTTGGAAATAAATACCACCAAACTTGGTGTCATTGAGAGGCAACAAAGAAATTGATTAATTTTACTCCCACTACAAAATGAAAATAAATGACAGAAGGGAAACACACACATACACACACACATGTACACACATACAAATTCAAATACACACAAATTCAAATAACTCTCTTTAAAATGTGCACTGAATATTCTCACAATGTCGGTTTAGAAACCAAAATGATCAATCATAATCACCAGTACATGAATATTCAGGTAAGTACTATAACTTAGTATGTTGAGTTAGGAGAAAAAATACAAGTGTTGGTATATATAATTTCATTGTGAGAGAAGTACTTAGTGTATGTTTTCATGGCCTCAGAATGAGACTTACCAATTAGGATATAGAAAATAAACTTGGTCTTATGATCAACAACAGAAAAGGTGGAGTGTAAGGAAAAAGCAATACTCATCCATTGGGTAAGGGTCAGCTGATATTTGAGCTGTTGTGGTTTTTAATACTTTTATTATTAAATCATGCTGCCAAAATTTCCCTTCTAAATGCAGTATCTGACAAATGCTCCTATGATAAATAAGGTGAAAACTCCCAAAGCTCTAAAATCTATCTATTTAGCCACTTAATTTATTACCTAATTTGTACATTTGGAATCTGTTCCTAAACTTGCCATTTGGGTTAACGTTTGTAGAAAATTAGTTCCTATATATTTAGAAAAGGTACCATTTTAATGCTGTACAAAGGCTATGTAATTTTCGGTGTTAACTGTTGTATTCAGAGTTAAATATGGGGTTATAGACTGTTGTGGTAGAAAAGATTTTAGAAGTTATAGAGTCAAATTTTAAATATTTTCCAGTGATATTAAAGAGCCATGCCATTCAAAATTAGATGTTAGTTTTCATAGAGAAAAAGAGAAACTCTACTTCATCCATTTTGTTTTGTGGGGCAGAAGTACTTGGGGACTCAAGGTCCATTTACCATAATTGTCACTTGGTAATGTGGGCCTGACAGTTTAGTGCTTAGGATGGAAATATGGTACAGCTCTGGCTTGCAGTTCTGGGGGTCACCAGGACCAGTGGTATAGGGTTGGGGCATGCAACACTAGAGCTATAACTGGGGGTCTCTGCTTCAGCCCTTGAAGCTCTCATCCTAGTCTCAATAACTCCATATAGAGAGCATTATATAGTGACTCGCATACAATTGCTGAGTGAAGAGTGGAACCAAACTGATTGTGTGATACTAGCACTGTACCAGGAATGGGAAATTCAAAGCATGACCCTTGCTTTTAGGAATGTAATTTTCTATGGGGAGAGAAATCCAAAGTGACTTGTGACTGGCTATAATATAGATGAAATTGGATAATGATAATGTAACTATGCTTGGTGACCTATGAAAGAACTGAATTGAGAGAAGTTTATTCTGCTGGGTGGGAGTTGGGGAATTTTCATGAAAAATTACAAAGACATAAGCATGTGAGCTGAATTTTGAGGTGCTAAGTGGAAGATTACCATGCAGTGAAGGTGGGGTGATCCAAGACAGTAGAGAAAAAAATGTTCAAGGGTAAAGGATTGTGGAAAAAGATGGCCTCCTTGGCTAAAGGAATGACATGTCCAGAGTGAGTGAACTAAATAGCCTAAAAGATGGTAGTGGCAGTCCGGAGTTTAAACCAGGGCAATGAAGCAAAGGACCACAGACACAGACATTTTTCTTATTGGACTGCATTCCTTCGACCAAATATTTGGCATGGAATTGGAAGAGAATGAATAAAACCAAAAGAGCAGTAAAGTTATGGTTCAGTCATGCATTCATTAATCAAAAATTGAAAATGTAGCATTTATTATATGCCTAGAGCACCATGTGCTAAATGGACTTTAAAGATGGCACTGTAGCTCTGTCCTCCCATTGTTCATTGATCTGCTTGAGTGAGCAGTGGTAATGTCTCCATGGTGAGACTTGTTACTATTTTTGGCATATCAAATACGCCACAGGGAGCTTGCCAGGCTCTGCTGTGTGGGCAGGATACTCTCGGTAGCTTGCCGGGCTCTCCAAGAGAGATGAAGGAATTGAACCGGGGTCGGCCGCATGCAAGACAAATGCCCTAGCCGCTGTGCTAATTGCTCCAGGACTTTAAGGGTAGGTAGCATAATAATCTGAATAAAAGATGATGGGGTCTAAAACAGCACTGGCTGAAATGGGAAAAACATACAAGACGCATTCTGATTTCTAATGAGCAAGCTAGGGACTGGAGAGAGTAGTAGGGGAGAAACCAGTTATACTAGCAACACAAGGCCCACTACCCAGCATCAATGGGCGTAGCCCTGGTGGTCTTTCACATCACTAGATTTGAGTACTGTCAGTCGGAATATTACTGGGAGTATGGATCTTGGGCTCCTCAGGATGGCTAGGGAGGCTGCCTCCACCCAACAGCATATAAATCAGTGAGAAGATAGAAATTTGGGGGTCATCACTTCTCAATGCATACAAAAATTAAAACATTATAAGAAACACCTGATGCACATATAATGCTGCTTGGCAACTGCATGGTGACTTTACAAAAAAGGAAAATTAAATCGGAGTAATAGTTTAATGAGCTGAGCTCATATTATACATACATGAGGCCCAGTTTGGATCCTGAGTACCACTAAGGGTGGCCTGAGGGAACATAGCAAGGAGTCTGAGTACTACCAGGTGTGGTCCACTCACTCCTCACCCCACAAAAAGGGCAGAAAAATAAAATTTAAAGATGAGCATAAGGTTTCACCCCGGGGCTACATATTATTATATGATGAGTTAACTAAAATAGGAAACACAGAAATAAGGGCAGACAGAATAGGCTAATAGTAGGAGAAGGGACCAGAGTGGAATAAATAGCAGAATAACCCAAGATGAAAACTTGGTTGCAAAATGGTTACATTTTAAGGGTTTTTTTTTGCCACACCCTCTATCCTCAGGACTTATTGCTGACTCTTTTCTGAGGGATCACTTGGTAGTGCTCAGGAAACCTTAAGAGGTGCAGGGGATCAAAGCTGGGTTTGCTGCGTGCAAGGCAAGTGCCTAACTTGCTGTACTAATTCTCCAGACCCACATATTTATTCTTTTTAATTTGTTTTGGGTTTGCCCAGCAGTACTCAGGGCTTACTCCTGAGTAAGGGATCATTCCTGGTGACCCTTGGGGGGTAACTGGCATGCTCAGGATTGAACCCAGGTTGGTGGCATGCAACACAAGCACCTTACCTGCTCTAATATCTACCTAGCCCCTCATTTACTTTTAATTTTTAAATTTTTAATTTTAATAGATTTTTTAAATTGAATCACTGTGAGATAGACCCCTACAATGCTGTTCATGATTAGGTTTCTGTCATACAGTGTGAAAACACCTACACCTCCTCCGGTGTACCTTTCCCAAATCCAGTGTCTCCTCACCCCTCATTTTGATTTTTAATGCCATCTGGGTTAGAACAGAAAGAAGAGTCAGGCTACATTTTTTATTTGTCCCTGTCCATATCATTTCTAACTGAGGCCTCTAGACAACCAAAAAGAAAACTGAGTTCAGGTTAGAAACTTCGGCTCCCAAACATTTGAAGTGTGGGTAGAAATTCAGAATCTAGAAGAATAAAGGATAAAGAAAATGGATAAAACTGTGTCATGAGAGCAAAGGGAGAAGGATCTTGAGAATGGGGTGCTGTCAAACTTGCTAAGGGTGGGGGCAATTTGAGCTTAAATCTGGGGGCTAGGCTTTGGTTGGTTTTGATATTAGAGGAACAAAACGTATTTCAAGTTACTGGTTTTCAAAATGGTATTCCTAAATATATATTCTTTCTTTATAAAAATGTTTATAGTCTTTGTACCACAAGAGAACTTAACTTTGTTCTCCTGAAAATATAATGATATCACTTCATATCTGTAAGGAGTAAAAACTCAAAATCACATTATGTGCATTGCTTTCTAGAAAACACACAACATTAACATATTCATTAGAAAGTACCATAGCTCACCCAAGTCAAATGATTTAATTGAGAAAAAGCCGAATGTTTAGTCTTCTGGCTCTTAATTCATTGTATTTTTCCTTATAATGTTACTTAATATTATGAAAACACACATCACATCACATCACACACTTATATCCCAATTCACTTTAAAACAAACACATTCCTTTTCTAATCACAAAATCAAAATACTTTTTGCCTTTGAATTTTTCAATATGTCACTTCATATTATGCAAGACAGGTAATTAGATCACTAGCTTCTGAAAGGAAAATAACCCTGAACAAGAAGACTTTGAATTGGTCGAAGGTAGATTGATTTCTGTTGCTTAAGAGCCCAATTTTTTTATCTTTGGGCCACACCCGGCAATGCACAGGAGTTACTCCTGGCTCTGCACTCATGAATTACTCCTGGTGGTGCTCAGGGGACCATATGGGAAGCTGGGAATCGAACCTGGGTTGGCAGCGTGCAAGGCAAATGCCTTACCCACTGTGCTATCGCTCCAGCCCCAAGAGCCCTATTTTTAACTAAGACGAAAAAAACTGCACTCCAATTGAGATTAGAATCTTTTCTAAGTCTCTCAATGGACCCCAAGCCAAGCAGTAGATGGTACCTTGACTTTTTCGAGGTGATCTTGGAGTGTGTCAATGAGGAGATCGCCCACAGGCTGCCATGATCCCTTGATCACCTCTGCCTGACGGAGTTTGAGGTCCAGCTCATCCGTTGCCTCCTGAAGTTCCTGGAGTCTCTTGAGGGCCTCATCTATTTTTCTCTGCCAGTCAGCAGAATGCAGGTTCAATTTTTCCCACTGAGTGTTGACCTCCTCAGCCTGTTTTCGTAGGATCCTTGTGACATTCTGGACTCTCTCCTCAGGAGGCAGCTCTAAATTGGTAATAGGACAAAGTTTTAGGCCACAGTAATTTTTTTTTAAAAAAAACACTGCTGAAAAGGTCACAGTGAACGAAAGAATGAAAATACAGTTTAACACGAGGCCAGCCAACTGATTAATGGTTTTTTTATACTTTGGCATAAATTTTGACAGATTCCCACATATCTAAAGTCTGTCTTCCTGAGTGAATTCATTCTGCATCCTATCAGTCATGTAATCCAAGACTCATTTAAACAGCTGAGTAGCAAAATGTTAGAACGCACACCACAAGTTCTCATTTACTTCAGCCAGGATCTGATATCAAAAATTAGCCTGTAGTCTTTAAAACAACGGGATTCCTTCTTGCAGATACTTGATTTTGCTGATAATTTTCTAAATGTTTCAAGAGCCGATCACTAATCTTTCTAAATGTTTATTTGGTGATGTGAAACAGATTCACGCATGGGGGTTTATGACTCCTTATGCTTTTGTGACATCTATGTTTAATTTGAATCGATTCTATTTAACATAGAAAATATGAGAGCTATCCAGACCCTGGCAGCAGGAATGGATGGTTTGCTCTGTCATTGCTGATCCTTCTATCAATATGTTATTACAGCTCCACATTCAATTACCTCTGGGCTCCTGGTAGAATTTCTCTAGTCCTTCCAAAGGTGGCTCTGTCAGAAATATTCGTACCGTCTCAAGAGTACTCATGATTACAGGTTCTTTCGTTTTCAATTCCCTCTTGAAGGCCTGTGAAATGAGATGGAAAGAAATGCTTATTTGGCTTGTGGCATTCTTCTCAAAATTAATCCTAGGTGCTCGGAACTTGGTTGTGAAACTCCCAGGTCAACGTTTATCTACTTTATTTATAAAGTGATAGTCTTAAAATGATAACAAAGGCACTATGGTTCTTCCCGGTAAAAAGGGAACTTGTTGCTTGTAAACCAATTCTGAAAAAGCTGCTAGAGTTTTCCATGTATGTTAATGTCCTTTCTTTAAGATAAGAATGATTTATTTATATAGTCTAGCTGCCAACCTTTATATCTCGAGGTAAAGTTGAAGAATAAAAACAGCAGAAACTCTAGCAGGGCAAACAAACACACAGCCCAAAGAATGAATATAGGACATAATCAAAAGTGTGAAGGGCCATTTGGAAGAACTTAGGCTAAGTTAAAATATACAACCAATCTAATGTATTATCACATCAGTCCTGTTAAAAGGTCTTACACTTATATATTAATAATATACTAAGAACAAACTCAAAATTATTGTTAGATTGTCCATTTCTACTCTTTTTTCCTTTTTGGGTCACACCCGGTGATGCACAGGGGTTACTCCTGGCTCATGCACTCAGGAGTTTCTCCCAGTGGTGCTCGGGGGACCATATGCGATGCTGTTAATTGAACCTGGGTTGGCTGCATGCAAGGCAAATGCCCTACCCTACCCGCTGTGCTATTGCTCCAGCCTCCTTTACTACTTTTTAAAGTTTACGGAAGTTTTAGTTACATGCTGGGAACAGGAATCTGAAAAAATATATTAGGTCTAGAATACATGATGGAAGTCATTCAGATGAGGGCTTCTGAAACTTTTTCCATTTGCAAACTATTTTTGCCCAAGAAATTTGTATGGGGCTGTTGGTATATAGGTATAAAAATAGAAATACAAAGCAAGCATTTACTGATAATAAATGATAAGAAATTTATTTTACACAATCCCTTCCTTCAGCTATGTGACATTATATGGTATTACAACCCATGGTTCAAGAAGCTATAATCCAAGCTAATTGTAATATTGTAATTTTTTAATCACTGGCCCATACTGTTCTTTGATATAGAGAGTTAAAAGAAAATGCAAAATGCAGCTTCTGCCTTGGGGATATTTATGGTCCAAAAGAAGGGAGAAAATGAACAGATTAGAAAGAGTAAAATAAATCAAATTGATAGATAATCAAGTGCTAAGATGCTTGTAACACATACTGTGAAGGTAGAATCAAGTAAAAGATACTCTTGAAACCACTAAAGAAAGTTACTGTCTCAGAATTTGCAATTTTATAAATTCAAGTATTAAGTGCCACAAAAATGACAATTAGATCAGTATAAAAACACCAGTAATCAGGGCCTGAATATAGGCATTAATTATTTGCATCTATTTTTCAATTATATCTTAATTTTAGTAATGGTGTTTACTGATTTCTTCCTATGAGAAAAGTGAGTGGTATTTCCATTAGCCTTTACATAAACCACTATGATGCAGAAATGCTCCAAATTATAATCACTGTCACTGTCACTGTCCTCCCATTGCTCATTGATTTGCTCGAGCGGGCCAAAATGATAATATATGCCAAATTTATAAATAAAATCCTAATGGTATTCACATTTGAAAGAAATTCTGAGTTTAATACTTAGCAAAAGGATTTTTCATCCAGAGTTATTTACAATTCAATAGAGAGGCAAGACATTTGAACCACAATAATAAGATTATGTAAGTTGTGGTGTGATTTCTGTGTAGTGAACTATTCCAATATCCTTGAAATTATACAGAGTAAGGTGGGTTGTTTGCTCTGCTTATGTTCAAGACTGATTCTCCCTTTAGCAAATTATTTTAAATCTGTGTGTGCATCTGTGCACACATGCATGCATGGTTACATGTGTGTAATGCTTTCCTATTTATGTAATTTTTGTCGTATATAAAAATTTTTAGCTTCAAAAATATTATTTTGCCTATTATTTTGTCTCCATTTGGACTTGATATGAAGGAATTGGTATGACAGAACTAATTATAAAAAATAATACTGGTTCTTTTATTGATATACCATGAGTCAATAGTTGTACTAGAGACTAGAAAGACAAAGTTGGAAGCAAAAGGGCCCTTATATTTAGGAATTTATATACACAGAAAGAATGTCAATACAGTGTGGAAAGTACACAAACTTGTAAATATGGTAAATTAGGAAGAGTTTTTTGAGCAGACAAACAAAATACGGTAAATTTAGGAAGAGTTACAAAAGAGTTTACAAAATATGGTAAATTTAGGAAGAGTTTTTTGAGCAGATAGTACTCACAAATAATTCTAACCATAAAAATGGCTTCACTAGGAAAGAACAAAATATACCTGCAAAGACACTGGACATAATATAGTGTGACAAGTATAGTAATCTCAAGTAGGCCAGTGAGTCTAGAAAAAAGAACATGTCTGAAGAAAGAGTGGGACACTGTTTCTCTTAAGCATGTAATACCTTTATGTCTAAATTTGAAGCTCTATGGCCATATATGCCCTTTAATAAAGCCTAGGTGATGTCAAATATATGGTTAGGAATCTTTGAAACGTTTTAAGCAGAGTAGGTACACAGACATGTATGTTTCAAGTAGATCTCCCTGGCAAAAATGATAACAGTATATATTTGAGAAAGTTAGAAATGGATCAGAGAACCCAGCTTAGAGGCAACTGTAGGAAAGCAGTGAAATATTATGGATTTGTAACTCAGGGCAACCATATAAAATTAAAAAAAAAGAGAGACCAGTGAAAAGTTTAGAAAATGGAGGGATGAGGATTTGGTGGCTGAAAAAGTGCTAGAGAAAGGAAGGCACAGAGATGACTATAGTTTCTATGTTGAGTAATTAGATGACTGCTGGGTGCAGTGTGATACTAAACCTGAGAAAATGTCTCAGGTCTCCTATGAAAAGCTTCAGCATCCCAAGAGTCTTTCCATAACAGGAAACTTCTGTTTGACTAGACAAATCAGACATTTGTGTGGATAATTTCTTGGACCCAGCTGAGATGGTCATAGACCAAAACAAGTACCCAGGTAAAGCAACAATTTCTAGAAAGCCTGGGGTGCCTCTCTCTCTGGGTATTGTCACTTTTAAAAATAGAAAGCCCAGACTTTGGAGGCATAGTTAGTTTCTACATTGAGACGTATGCTAGATAGGTGCTTCATTGAGAAGCGGCCAACGGCCTTATTTTTCATAGGAAGAGCAAAAACCTTTACCCTGGTCCCTTAACTATGGAATCCTATGTTGCTCTTGTGGGAAAGTTTTTCATAAGTTCTCATCAGGTCTCCTTGGGGTACATCGCAGGGCAATGGAAGGAGACTAGTGGTGACATGGTATAATGAAATTCACAGAAAACTGTGTGTGGTTTAGAATAGCTCATATACATGATCCAGATAAAATTAATGAAGACAGAAAGGAAAAGTCTTATTATGAGTGGGGAATGTGCATGCTCACAGGGTAAGAGGGTATGAAATGCTCAACTTAGAAAGACTACATTCTTTCAGAAGGAAATAAACATCAGAGTCTGATGTTTAGAGAGAACAAAAGACTATTTTGGAGTCATTCTCTCGTGGAGGTAATATTCACTGAGAAATTACTATTATCATATAGCCTAATATTAAAATAATATAAGAAGATGAGTTTACTTATGAAGTGGAGTGATATGAAAAGAAACTTCTGGAGAATGGGCAAAAAAAGACAGTGGGAAGTCAAGAAATTAGGACTTAGGAAGGCCAAAATATAGGAAGCTATGGAACAGGGATGTGGGGGGAGGGGGGCGAATACTGGGACAATGTAAGCAGACATTCTGGTGGAGAGTTTGGTACTGGACTGATTCATGCTAGAAACTCTACTATTAATGTACTATAAGCCACAGTGGCTGAAATAAAATTCCAAAAACATATATATATAGGAGGAACTGATCAGTAAGGGTAACCAAGATTCCTGGTTTGCCCATGACTTGGAGAATATTTCATGATGTAGAACTTCCCATGTTGAAGGACAATCTCAAGCAAACCAGGGCAGTTGGTCACCATAGCACACACTGTGAAAGAGTAAAGATCAACTGGCAAGAAAATGGAATAACTATTGGAGAAAGGTCTGTGTAATACGAAAGTGGTTGGTTGAAGTCCCATGAAAGTTCAAATGCCCAAGACACTCTTTGACGATGCAATGAAATTTCATTGTTGAGACTGAATAACAGATAATTCAGGGCTAAGGATCATCCATCCATTGTAAGAGACCACTTGTTTGCCCCTTGAATTGTTGCCAAGGACTTATAACCACCACAGCTGCACAGTTCATTTCTTAAATATGAGTCACTGAGGATTAAAACGAGTCTAAAGCAAACACAAAGGAAGTTCTGTCATTACAAAGACATAAGGACCTTTATTTTCACATCATTGCCTGAGATTAAGAAAAGAAAGTAGATGGGATGGGGGGAGGGTTAAGACTGGATCTTCAGAATTTAGGAAGATTTAGACTAATTGCAAAAGAGTAAAAACCCCAGAAGAACAACTTGCTTGAAGAAATTGAGATGATAAAGGAAATTTTAATGTTTCTTATTTGATGTGGGAAAAATATAAGTTGAAGCATTTTTTATATCATTGGGGGGCCATGCATAGCTGTTCCAGGGCTTATTCCAGGTTCTATGCTGAGAAACACTCCTGGCAAGGAATAAGGTTCCAGAGATCGAACATGGGTTGGCTGCATGCAAGGCAAGTGCCTTACCCTCTGTACTATCTCTTTGGGAATATCATTTTAGAATGATCATATGAAGAGCTCTCTTCCATTATTCACCCAATAATTCTGAGCACCTACTAAGTAGCAAACACTGTTGCATCAGTGTTTTTTAAGGTGGAATTTTAAAGTGATAGATTTATGTCGCAAAAATGATGAAAACATAACCTCACAAAACCTGCATAAAATAATAGAAATATATTTTGCACTATATAATTAATGTACCATAAACTGCATGTT